TAGTCATGTTGTTACATGACACGCATGTCATGATTATCATGTTTGGATGTGTCATTTACCTATGTCGTCCGTTCACGTCGCGTAATACCTAGTTTGGTACATGTGAAGCTAGCGAAACGGCCGCGAGCGCATCATGAGCGTAGCATGTAGTCATGTTGTTACATGAGACGCATCTCACGTTTACAATGTTTGCACCAGTATCATACCTTCGTCGTCCATTCACGTCCCGTAATACCAAATTTGGTAGAAGTGATGCTAGCAAAACGGCCGCCAGTGCATCATTAGCGTAGCATGTAGTCATGTTGCTACATGACACGCATGTCATGATTTTCATGTTTGGGTCCATTGCTTGTGTTCGCCATGCAATCATGTCATACCATACCAGTTTTGCAACATGCCGTGTGAACGGAACCACCGCAAGAGCTGCAGGACCATGAATTGTAAATCATGACATTCATGACATAAACACTATGATTTTCATGTTATGACTAGTAAAATATGTTTTTCATACAGTCATGTTATACCATACCAAGTTTGATATTGATACCATTATCGAAACGACCAGGAGAGCTAAAAGTCGTAGGCGGCTAGATAGATAGATACGCTCGAAGTCGCCGAAATTCGCCAAGAAATGCTTCGCATTTAAAAGTACCACGATGTGTCCGCCTTAACCAAAAGATCCGTCTGAACGCGCTAGAAACGAGGCGTGTAGTTTCCAAACTCTCGGTATCCGCGCTGCGCCACAAACCCACGGACGCAATTAGCACGCTTCGGTAGAGATGCCGTCAGCTTACTTTCTCCCTAAGTTGATCAATTTATACAGATACAGTACGAGTGATGATCTTGGTACTCTTGCCGCTTTTAATATTCTTTCGATTCTGTTGTTTTTAATATTCTTTTTTTGTGTGTACGTTTGTGCGCGTTCGGTTCCACCTTGGTAGCGTTATCTATACGTTTGGAGGGTTAGTTCCGCCACATGTCTGTCTGCATGGGCGCGTATTGCGTGGGGTTTGTTGCATGCTTTCTTTCTTCGTTTTTCTCTTTCTTTCTTTCTTTCTTTCTTTCTTTCTTTCCTTCTTTCTTTCTTTCTTTCTTTCTTCCTTCCTTCCTTTGCGTGCTTGTTGACGCCTTGATCACTCGCTCACAATGCAAGCTGTACGCGCACTGTCACCCCACGAAGCGACAGTACGTCTACAGCTTTTTTCAATCTTTCGTCTTCCTCTCTTCTCAGTTGTTGCTTCTGATGCTTTCTTCTTTCGCCATGTTCCTGCGTATCTTTTCTTTCTGGAACTAGGCACACGTGCGCACCGGAAGTGGCTCGAGACAGAGACGGGGAACCGCTCGAGGCGGTCGCGCATGAGGTCGTGCGCTTTAGCGCGTAGTCCACTTCGCCAGCCACTTCAGCCCTTCCTTCTTACCTTTTCCCCGCTCTGTTCCACTCTGCTTCCTCGGCCACTCTATGCTTCCACTTTTACACGTTGTCCTTACTCCATCTGCGCACTCTCGGGGCTTGACTTCCTGTTTCGCGAGGCGCCATTTCACTTGTTCAGTGCAGTGTTTTTCGAGAGCTTCTCTAGAGCAAGATAATAGGGGGAGAAATTCACCGCCGTTATCGACAACCGAAAGATTCGAGTGACATCGTTCTGTGGCTGACTTCTCTGTTCAAAAACCACGTGCTGGTGTTCTGTAGAAGGAAAGGGGGTTTTATCAGCTCATATATTTCATCTCAATAAAAGGTTTAATTGTTGCAATAAAGTTAAAAACAACGAATAGTGTCCTCTATGCTTTCCTTGTTCTAATTGGTTGTTAGATTTGTTTGTTTGTGTCAAACAAATAAAGGCGTACTTCAAAAAGATTCACCTACTGTCGGTCATGCTGAAGTTGTGCCGATCATCTGTTAATGTATGTATGCAGCACCGAAATAAAGTTTTTTTTTTCATTCTATTTCATTCCATTTCGGCATTCAGACTTGTACAGAAAGCTACTCTACAGAAAACACCACAGCTGTGCGCCCCGTTATTTGCTTTTAGGACTTATAGTTACACACTGCTTTAACGTGTGCCTAAAAATTAACGTTCACGTGATGTGCCCCAGAATACAGCTCTTGCAGGTATAAATGCCAAGCTTTGCCTTTTTTAATGCACTTAAGCAAGAGTGGAAGTTACTTCTAATGACCCGTGTAATTCGTTTCTTGGTGGTAATTTTGCCTAGCATACACAACGTTCCTCGTATATTAAACGTAAATGTAGTGTAAAGAAGGGCGCGCGCGTACACACCCCCTTCCACACACACACGCACACGCGCATGCACACACGCGCACGCACACTGAAACTCATTGACGCATGAACAGGTTTCTCACGGAGTGAAATGAAAAACACGGGGCTAACTAGTGCAAGTAATTTCGTTTTCAGCGCCTACGAGGTTTGCGTCATATCTACATAGTTTTGAATCGAATGCTACTTTCAGGGCCAGCATTACTAACAGTGGCCATAGAAGCTGCGGCCAGATGTGGTGATCACTAGCAATTGCTCATAACGGCAATTACGTTTTAAAAAAAACGGCATCATATTTCACTTCGTGGGTATGTTGTACACACATGCCAACGAAGAGGTATGCATGTCGTGTTCTATTAAGTCCTTTTTTTTAATGACCAGAAACCACACATACGGGAACAGATCGCACAGGTCCCGAGCGGTGATTACGTGCAGTCCCTGAGCAGATATAACCTGCTCAGGGACTGCACGTAATTTCGGAGATAGGAATGAACTTCTCCTTTGCACTAGATCGTCGCGAGCGACGTCGCAAAGAGGGTCTTTTTTTTATTTTATTTTTTCACCTGCTGCACGCCGCTCGCCTGTTCGGATCGGCAAATTTGCGCTCTTCTCGCTTCGCCAATTTGGTCTCTCTTCCTCCGTCTCTCAGTTTCTGCCACTTCAGGAGGTTTGCATCCGGAAGCGGGTGAAGTGGAGGACGAAGAGGAGAGACGGAGGGGTTGGCTGGTCTCGCTAGAACGTGGTCTCCATCTCACCTAAATTAATCACGTAGTTCCACTGGGAGCCCGCCGGAGGACGGGAAATGGTCTCGCGATTGATATTTAACGAATATTCGGTGCCACTACTCACGATGCTAGAACCCTCCCCCCCCCCCCCCCAGGAAGTATTCTGCTTTTCTCGCGGACCTTAGTACACACTTGAGTTGCTTTCTATTTTCTTTTGTTGTTGTGTAGTTTTCTTTGCTGAGTTAATGAGGGACACTCAGCAAATGGTGCTGATCTGCGTTCGTGCGAGATGAAAAGCAATGCAAAAGTTGAACGCGAGGCTTGAGAAAAAAAAAAGATCACCTTGCGCGTACTTCCACAGGTTTGCTTTGCACTTCCTAAGCATTTACGACTTTTCGAGAACAATTTTCCCAACTGATTGAGCGAGCTTAAATTTTGACATTTTTGCTCAGACGGGGGAAAAGCTTTTTCTTGGAAATGAACTTCGAATATCCCTGCCAGTCGAAATAGTGCTAGAGTAAGCTTTTTATTATTAGAATCACTAATTTTTGTTGCCGGTGATGAACAGCTACCAGTCATTGAAAATTTGCGTGTATAGCCCGTGTACTTCAACAGCTGAGTATTTTCTAGAGCTCTTCTATAACTGTTTTTCAATACGGTCCAAACGAGAGACGATAAAGCTAACAGAAAAGTTAAGCATCGACTTCGTTCATAAGCTGGAGTGTGAGAAAAATTTTTGATGAGAAAGGCAGGAAGGAGAAAGTTGAAGTTTATAACGAGTTTGCTTGTTTCAATTAATCGAGGTATCACTCAGACATCCAATCAATCAATCAAACAATCAATCAATCAATCATTAAATGGCTTTACTTGTGGGCAGAAAAATAGAACTCCATATTTTCAGCAGAACCTGAACTACAAGGTTGTAGGGGGACTCTTTGTAGCGAAAAGAGAGGGACCCATGGTATTAACAAAGGCAGGGAGGTTCGTTGCGAAGTTGTGAGAGAAACAAATGTGCAGTGTAATGGCACTTAGAGACAATTTTTGAGGACTAAATTTCACCAAGTGAAACAAATGCTGAAGCACGTGCGCAGCTGCAGCTTCTGCTTATTATTTGTGACAGAGATTGATGATTGATCGATTGATATGTGGGGTTTAACGTCCCAAAACCACTATATGATTATGAGAGACGCCGTAGTGGAGGGCTCCGGAAATTTAGACCACCTGGGGTTCTTTAACGTGCACCCAAATCTGAGCACACGGGCCTACAACATTTCCGCCTCCATCGGAAATGCAGCCGCCGCAGCCGGGATTTGAGCCCGCGACCTGCGGGTCAGCAGCCGAGTACCTTAGCCACTAGACCACCGCGGTGGGGCTATTTGTGACAGAAAGAGAAACAGCTTTAAAACTCGTAGGATTCCTAATGCATCCACCTAATCTGACTCGAAGGCGACATTCATCTCCTTTCTATTTTTTATTAATAGCCGATGTATTGATACTCCCCTGCTTTCCTCCGGAAACTTTCTACGGCTATTGTGGTTTTACACTGCCTCAAAGATCGGAGACATACATAGGAAACGTTCTGCAACTCGCTTGGTTTCGCATGGCCTCCGTGATCGGCCCACGTCTGAACAAGCAATGACGTCATCAAATGAGGTCATGATACGACATTCATGTTATGTGACGTCATGATGACGGCACAAATTTCAGTGATCTGTGACGTAATGATGACGTCACGTGGTGATATGATTACGTGATAATTTTTCGCATCACTCGTGTTGACGCCGTCGATGGTCCTACTTCGCGTTTTTCGAGGCGCATAATAAGGCTCTCTGGTAACGCAGAATCCTATAAAAAGAGAGATTGACAAACCATGAAGAGCTATAAACGTGACCATACTATTCGAGGGAAAGTTTCACGTGTACCGTGTCTCTAGCTGAAGCTTGGCTTATGTTGTTGCAGCCTGTTGACGTTTTGCCTAAAGTGCACGTGATGTTGAATGCAGATGCGAATTGGTTTGCACACGGGCCTTGTGCTGGCGGGCGTGGTGGGCGTCAAGATGCCCCGCTACTGTCTCATCGGCAACGACGTCTCCCTCGCCAACAAGTTTGAATCTGGCAGCATCGCCATGCACATCAATGTCAGCCCCACCACGCACAGGTAAGGTTGTAGGCTCAGCTAATATCCGTTACAACCAAAAAGAACGGGTACCTGCTAAACTTGGTGCTGTCTCCTGTGAAACGTTTTAAACAGCGTTAAGCAGACAAGCTACGGCTCCGGTTTTCCTCATTCTCTGTCTGTTTTGTGTCCTGGAGTCTCTAAGAACACTAAATTAGAAATATTGCGTACCCATGCATTTTTCTACACTATCCCTTGTGACGTGAGAAGACTTCTAAATTCATTCATCATGCTAGGTTTCGAAATAATTAAGTTATTTCCTTAATTTCTTCGTATTTTCATGCCACTCACACTCTCGCGGGAAACTAATAAAAAATGTCGGTTTCTTACTTCTTCATTTGTGCCGGAATTTTTAGATTTCGTTGAATTCAGTTGAATGTTAACGTGGCATTGAATAATGGGCCTGTTTTTTGGTGCAGCGGAAAGTGAAAATCGGTAGTTTGTGGAAAACGAGTTTGGTAACGTTGCTGATTGTCGTCGTAATGGTGTCTCGCGCCAGTAGAAAATGAACAATAGTTCACGTAATGTCGTTTTTTGTCTGTTAAGTCCTTGAACTAATGTAGCTGATTTAATAAACAAATAATCAACGTATTTTACACGCCAAGAAAGAGAGAGAGACTCAATAAATAAAGGAAAAAAAACAGGGACATACTAGTCACCAATTAAATACATGCATCCACGTGTATCTCGATAAAATCGGGTACAGAGCAAGATCGTTCGCATAACAGGAAGTTTTCAGAGCGTTGTTTCGTTTCTAGCAGACCACTAGCCTGAGAGACAGACTTTAAGCAATGGTGTATGCTCCTCTCCTTCCCCCGCCTTTTTTTCCTAATTTCCTCAATACCTCCTTTAGACCACCTTTGTTTGCCCTATTTTGTGCACAGGGTTGCCACTCTGTCTGAAACCCAGTTTATTTGTCTGTTTTCTTGGTGTGACTGTTCCTACTCTTCCTTTTTTTTTAATCTTATATAGCCTACGCATTAGAACATCACGTGTTGAAAACTGCGTGCAGCCAGACCTGTTATTTTCTGGACACCCATCAGCCATTAACATAAAGTGTAAAAACACCATCAGTAATGATCAATAAGCGACGCGGGGCAAGAAGGGGACACCTGTTACCTGACTCGAGGACACCGCTATGCCCTTCCGATATTTCCTATCCCTATCCTGCGTTTTCCCCACGGAAAATCGCAGGGGTGGTAGAATTTGGGAGACCCTGCCAAGCTGCTGGAGTATCAAGGATCGCAGCTCGCCCTGATGCTTGACTGAGCGGATGGAGGACCTGGAGGGTGTAAGATAAAGAGAGAAATCAAAGGAGATACGTTAACGAAAACCGGGAACGAAAGGAGGCAGGGCAGCCGTTGGCTCACGTCGGTGACGCCTGCTGATCCGTGCGTCGTTTCGCTCCTCCCGCCACGTTGCTGCGCCGTTCATCGGGCGAACTTTCCGCGCCTTGCCGGGCTCGCTCACCCATCCACCACCGGAACGCTCGGGACGCGCCTGCCCTAATTAAGGTTCCGCGAAGACGTGGCCCGACGCCTGCCTGCCTCACCTGCTGACCGACGGTAATTAAACGCACACTCGCACACGCATGCTCAGACAAACGCACGCACGAACGAGAAGGAACGCCACAGAGAGGCGTTCGCCTCAGCGGGAACCCTGCTCTCAGATGGCTGACGACGCAAAAGCAGCTTGCTTGTTTTACTGACTACGGTCAAGTGCAATATGCGGGCCGGGAAAATGTACGTAAGAGAATTACGCAGTATGCAGAAGACGAAAATCAAGGTGGGTGGGAAGCGAAAAGCGCTATATCGGTAGAGGTAGTAGCTTACTGAGCGTAAGCGAAGCTACCAATCACATTTAGATACGTTTCCCGACACAGGCACTCTCGCCGATTAGATTTGGCAAAAACAACAAGGAATGTCATATAACTATCTGTGAAGTTGTTATATCTATATATAGCGCATCTAAGCGGCACTTACCGCGAGCACAGTATGCAAGCTGTTTAGGTTCACTGGATACCGCTTTTTTTTTGGGGGGGGGGGGGGGGGGGCTTCAGAATTGTAATATTGTTCCCATGATTCCGTTAGTAAAAGCTTGCTTAACGACTTGCTCAGTGACACCACTGCTGTGCCCCAGCACCGTACATTATACCTCGTCTCCGCACATTGTGGGACGGGGTCCAAAAGAGTGGGTGGAGGAGAAACGGCTTTGCGGTGGGGGGAGATACCTGTAATGAAGAAGTCTGCGCTAGCCTATGGTCTGTCTGCACTGTTTGCTCACAAAGCAAAAATAAAGCGTTGGAGTTTCACATGGTATGCTCTTGACTTATTCCAACCAAAGCGTTTTCACTGTCGAGAAGATGCTGGCACCATGGGGCTGCCCACCACAGCTCAAAAGGGCAACGGAAGCGCTGTTGCGTTATTTCAAGGACACGGGTCTGATTCAGCGTTTGGGGCATTAAACGTTGAACTGTTACGTCGGCTAAAAAAGTGACTCTCTTTTTCTCCTGCTTTCCAACTTTTCTGTTCCCCACGTTCCTTCGCCATTGCTGAGTAGCCTTCTGGGCTCAGCCCTGGTTAACCTTCCTGTCTTTCTGTTATTCTTATTCTGTTCCCCCAACCCCCTTCGACGTTGTCTCACTCCGATACGGGCCTCTCTTATAACTTGCCTTGATTCGTAATTGTTGCGCGGTTGCAGGTTACTGGTACACACCGAGGGTTTTCGATTCGAAGCTCGACCCCGAGAGCACTTGCCGGAGGGCTTCCCGGAGCACATCAAGGGAACGTGCCACTTCCTCAAGGGATTCTTCCATCCCAAGCTGGACCCGGCCGAGCCACTTGACGTGCACATACGCAAGGCGCAGCGTGAGCTGCGAATGGACGCCTCCCAGACGTGGCTCGCCTGAGCGTGTGACACGTAGGACACGAAATGAATAATCGATTGCCTTTCTACGAGCCCCGCCGAAGATGTCTGTGCGTCTTCAATGTGCGCGCGGGCTGTGCAGGCCATAAACATTGCAAGCGCTGGAGAACAAGAATGCAGACTATAAAAAAAGATGGAGTGTCCACGCTCAATGAAACTTGCTCAAAGTGCAGTTTTATCACATCGACGACAGAAGGTGTTGTGCTGAATTCCAAAGTGGAATTACTGCATACGTTACCTTCAGGTATGCTTCCTAAAGGAGCCATGCCTGGGTACTCTATTCCAAATAATCTTAAAACAGGCGTTGGATATCGTGTATACGCTAGTAAGCGAACCTCCATGAACTGTAGAACCAGGCTATATCTCGGCTGAAACGTAGAATAGGACAGGGAACAGGCGGAAAAGGAAAAGCAGGGATATTATATTCGAATGGAGTGCATGTACTTGAATCTACGATGTAGTTCTTCGGAGCGTGTCCTTGCCTTGATTACTGCAAGGTAATGCGCTTTAGGTGTCGCAGATTTCTGCCAAGCGAGCCACTAAGTTGTGCTGCAACACGTTTCAACTGTCGGAAACATGTTGAGGGCTCCTGCCATTTACATACTGCCTCAGAGTTCTCAAAAAATAATCGGTACACAGTAGAGCGGAACTGTCCTTCAGATTCTTCTTGCATACGTTTGACAGATGAAGCAAAGAGAAAGGAGACGTGAGAACGTGGAATGACAGCAGGTGATATTGGCTCAACTTGCTTTGTACGGTGTGTAATTAATCTGCAGTGAAGCCTATGTCATTGCCAGAGAAGGTTGCCTAGCAAGCTGTGTTAAGATAGTTAACGGCGTATAGTAGCGCTTTGTTTAGAGCTTCACCTGTTTTTAGAGGCTTAAAGTGGTGCGATTCCAGCAATACGTCACGCGCTGGTGGGTCATACCAGTTCGAAGAGTAGGCTTAATAAATTCGAAAACAAAATGACAATGGAGGCAACTGGGAAATGAGAAAATAAGACACAAACACAAAACACAAGAAGTCATTCGATATTTTTTGTTAGTGAGAACTCATCAACTTTTTTTTAGCAAGTCATAATGTTTTTTTTTAATTTCTGTCGATTCATGCTGACCATTCATTGAACCAGTATAAGTGTCATTCATGTTTGAGTTGATCACGCTGAAAAAAAAATGGTTACGAAACTGTAATAAATGTAACCGAAGTGTAATTACCAATATGAGCATTGGTTTTAATAACACGGTTTAGTACTATATTTTGCCCTTGAACACAGAGACTGGATATGACTGGGTAACGTGGAAAATGGGTAAGGGGAGTTTTCATAATAAATGTAAAGATGGTTCATGCTGCGCAGGTTGCTAAAAGCGACAAGCAGATGACCTGATTGATGGCAGTAGACTCACACCCATGTTGTAATGTTCATCAATGTAGGCTCGGTATTTGTCTTGACATGGCTTCGTTTGGACAAGTTTCTAGAAGGAAATTTCATGTTGTTTTCATAGAATATTGCTTTGTTTTATCACGTCACCGAATAGCTTACCGTTGTTGCCATGAGATGTTCAATGTTGGTGTGGTAATTGCAGGTGGGAAGTGTTGCAATTAGCAGTTAGAAATGATCAGCACTTGTTTGGTAAACATTGTGCACGGAGCCAAGTTTTGCGTTTTAGCATGTCGGTTGTGATGTCGACGCTGTAGTGTACATGCTGAATAATGTTCACGTAATTGACACGGTCTTCCCAGTGTGAAGCTTGAGGATTCTGTCTGTGCGTGCTTCTCGCTGTGACCACCAACACATTTGATTGTTTTGAGGAGGCTGAATATTTTTATTTTGTTCATTTTTATTACTTAACATCCCATATGACCATTAACACAAGTTGATCCCTAATAGAGTGGTCACGTCTTAGCTTTGCTCGCTTCAATATCTTTGTCTACGTCCACACTTATTCTCTGTCTTCTTGCAAACGGTATGGTTGTTGCCCTTTCGCTTTATTGCTGTGCGATAATTGCATCTTTTTTTGCGAGATGTTTCTATGTGTCTTTCGTTTGTAACAGTTATACAGATTTAGCAGTTGCCTATGCGATCTCGCTACTTAGTTTATTTGTTTCATGTCGCAGTTACCAGATTTCGATTAGGTTATTTATAATAAACAAGTTCATATCCAAGCAAATTTCATGATTGATATGAGTAATATTTGATCTTGATAATATATTTTGTGCAAGGAGTTACAAGGTATAACCAATAGAGCTATTGTAATAAGTGTTGGGGACGATGTTGTAGAAAGGACGCATTTCTTTAATAAAATATGTTGAAGTGGACCATATCATTTTTCATTCTGTGCGATGCGAATGCCTGTCATCGTTAATGGTTCTGGTCATGATAATAATGGGCCACGTTCGATTAGTTGATTCCTTTGGCGTGCGCACGCAGGACACTGCACTTAATTACTTCAAAAAACTCGAACGAGAAACATAACACTCATTTTGGAGATTGAACTTGTTTATGTTGAGGGATAACGATAGAACCAAGGTGGTGATCGAATATGTCCCCGCCCTTTGCTTGCTGCCTGTATCTAACTAAGCCCATAACGGCCACAATTTGTGTTTTTCGCGTTGCTTCAAGGTAACCGAGACGCATAGCTTACAGTGTAAGATAGTCAAATAAACCTTTAAACAAGGTCGGTCGAGTTCATATTGTACTACAAATATCGTAAAGCACGAAAAGTTCTATGACACCGGAGTGTAAGCATTTAACAACCGGTCGAATGCTGGCAGTCCGTCGTAATGCCTGTCTCCGGAGTTTATCGCCAGTGTGGTGGACAGACTTTGGCGACGAGACAGCAGTGTAACAATGCAGGCTTATTTTCCAATGTTGTGAACTTGGGCACTGGGTACTACAAACGTGAGACAAACGTGGGAATCGACATGGCTGATTAAAAAAAATGGCAGCATATCCACGGAGTGAATGATGGAGAGTGGGGCGAAGAATCCGTCCGTCCATTCGTTCTAGCTTCCGTCCGTCCATACGTCCGTCTGTGTGACCGTCCGTGCATCCATTCGCCCGTCCGTGCGTGCGTCTGTTCGTGCGTCTGCACGTCTATCTGTGCGTCCGTTCCTGCGTTCGACCATGCATCCGCCCCTACGTCCGTCCATGCGTCCATCCGTCGGTGCAGCTATCCGTGAGTCCGTCCATACATCTGTCTTTGTGTCCATTCGTCCATCTATTCAACACTCCAAGTACCACCATCTCGCATCCTTTCATCGTATATTCCGCATATGCACCGCCATCCAGCGGACATTCCAAGGACTAAACGAGAGGTGGCACACGCACACTTTCTTACGGCTTGCGCTTCGTGTCTACTTCCCACCTTTAACCATCTCGAGTTCATGGTATATACTAGTTCACTGTATTCATGGCACTGCAGCCCAACGCTCACTAAACCTTTCTAAAACCAAGGAAGTTACGCCCAGCGAGTATAACGTAGCAACCCTTTCTTGTGAGATAGTGCTCAATGTACATGCCAATGGCTGCTAACTGGGAATGAGAGACAGGATAATTCGGCTTTTAGTTAACGCGCACGCTGCGAATTTTTTTATTGTTCAACAACGCACAGAAGAAATATCTCACCGGCACCACCTTGGAGATCAAAATGTAAGACTGGTTACACACTACGACTACTACTACGACTACGAGGGACGAACGGGTGCCGCTGTAAGGAGCTTCGCCCCTTAAAAAAAAAGATATCGGGGCAGCTGCGCATTAGTGATGTGAATGAAGTCTAAAGTAGCGGCAAGGCTAACGTGCACTAGCTGTGCAAATCTGGAAGCAACAGCGCAGCGCGTGTTAGAACTTCCTGCGGAAGAAGCTGCCCTCCCGAGCTCGCATTTCTTCCTCTTTTAAACGACATGGGTTTGGCGGGAACATGTCAAAGGACCAATTTTAAGTGATTTTGGCGGGATCATGTCAGGTGACTCCAGTGACACGGGATTTCGGCGGCAAAATGTAACGTAACTAGTGTTACGCGGTTTTACGTAACGTTTCTGTCATTTCGTTCCTACTCTATTTCTCACTTCCTCTTTAATGTATTATTGTCTTCCTTTGTCTTCCAATATTTTTTTTATCTCCTTACTTTCTTCCTTTACTCGTCTGTCATTCTCTTTTCCTTTATTGCCGTCTCTCTCTCTACCTCTATACACGTTCTCTCGGTCGCCCTAGTTATTGCCTTTCACGCAGGATAAATCGCCGCAGCGGTAGAGCGGGCAGCGTGCGCGCGGGTTAGGGTAGAAGAAGACGACGACGATTAAAGCACACACTGGCATAACAAAGCTAGTTAGTTGCAGCACCATACAAACTAAAGCCAGCTACAAGAGCGAAGCTCTTGTAAGAAGAGAGAGGAGAAAACTGCACAAAACACTCACTTTTCGAAGTGATTGGCGCATGATGAAAAAAGCATACAGGCCCTCTAACTTTCGTCCATCGAGCTCTTCGTAACATTTTTTCACAACTTTGTAACTTATAACCTTGAACGTATTTCCTAAAACGCACCCGCCGTGGCGGTCTATATAATGGCTAAGCTACTCGGCTGCTGACCCGCAGGTCGGGGGATGAAATCCAGGCAGTAACGGCTGCATTTTCGATGGAAGCGCAAACACTGTAGCCCCGTGTGCTCAGATATGGGCGCACAATAAAGAACCCCGGGTGGACGATACTTCTAGAGCCCTGCACTACGGCGTCACTCATAAACGTATGGTGGTTTTGGGACGTTAACTCTCATATATCTATCAATCAATCTCCTAAAACAATGCGGCAAGTTCGTAGGCTTTATGAGATAAGCGAATGCTAATGGTTCCTTGATATTATATTTTACAGGTTCTACATATTCAGTATTCTTCAGGTGAAGAGTCCTACCACCGAAAAAATATGCCTTTCAGGGCAACGTCAGCGTAATTCCGTTGTTAGACTCTCTACGTAGACTTCCGCTAACCTGAAGTAGGCCTAACACATATCATTACCTCTAAGAATATGCACGAAGCTGTATAAATTATGCACCATTCAGTCATTTCAGTGCACGTGCCATTATCATGTGCTAGGTACCTAGGTCACAAGCAGTCAGCCGTGTGTTCAAGCCCCTACGCAAACCGTATATTGGTTTTCGAAGATTTCGCACAGGATGCATTTTTGGCATTCAAAAACTTGGTTTATGATGACAAATTTTCGTTGCGGAGCCGTCTTGCCTCGTGAGTAATTCCGATAATGCGTCCCGACGTGAACTGACGAAATCATCCTTCATTCGCTGTCATTTACTATATCGCAAATCGTCCAATTTTTACGGTACATTTACCTGTAGGCGAATTGCGTGCGCTGAACACATGCTCAAGCTACGTGACGACAAAGAGGACAGTCTGCTTCAGGGAGACATAACGCATTTACATTTACAGTACACACACAGCACGAGTGCGTACCTAAAACTTACCAGCACTTGTGCATACAGGCACGTTCGCGGTTCCTATTGTTAATTAGCTTGAGTGACACCAAATGTATGGCCCAGAATGCGTATCGCGTATCCCTGCACCTTGACTGTAATTCCATAAAACTCTTAGCCTTGACTGGGAGCCGGCATCACCCTTCATGCTATTCAGGCAACGTCTATAAGCTAACTTTTCAATGAGAACCGGAGCATGGGGCACAGAAGTATTTTATAATTAACAATTAAATTGGCTCAAGTGCCTTTTGTGCGCTGTGTCGAAGACAGGACACGAAGGCTGCGGGATCAAATTTAGGCGGTGGTCGCCACATTCTCGATGGTGGCAGAACTTCTTTAGGGCCGTGTACTTACATTTTGGTGCACCTATATTTAGGACACCAGGTGAACACCAGGTGGTCACCAAGTGGTCGAAATTTCCGGAGCACTCAACGGCAGTGTCTCTCCTAATCGCATCGTGGTCTAAGAACGCTAAATCTTAACCATTTTTATTTTTACTAAGTGATTACACGCCTTCACTACTCTTCCCACCGGTGCTATCTCCTACTCGCAAATTATTTCTTCAAAATTGCGTTCCGAATGCCAGCGGTAAGCGTTGAGCCTACCAGGAATTTTCAATATGACGATAGTTATACATAGCGCGAGAACAAAATGACGACACAGAGACAAGAAGGACACGAAGGACACAGGGTCCTCCTTGTCTCTGTGTCGTCGTTTTGTTCTCGCGCTATAACTATCGTCATGCCATACCAACTAGCCCAAGCTGCTACACTTCTAAGGAATTCTCGCTTTCCAGCTACGTGCTGTTACATCGCCAGCGCAGTCACAAACGCGCAAAGAATGAGATAAGTCGATCGCACCCGATAGCTATGCGTGACTAGGCACAATAGGCTTCCGATTGCACATCTTAGAAATGTAGCAGGCCATTCAGAACTGATATCTCCCAGGCATGTACCAATCGAGAGCTCATTTTATAATTACATCACGTGAACAGATTGCTGGCGTCACAAATTGTGCCAAAAACGCCGAAAAAACCAACAAACGATAGGAGTGAATAACGCATTCGTTCTTTGTATTTTAAAATGTTGTTTAGGATGTCTTTAACACCGTTAGAACATGCATATCAGCTTGCGCAGTGACACAAAAATTAGAGGGGCGTTACCCTATTCGCCGCGGCACGTTCGATTGTTTGTCACGATGCTCTGCAGAACTTGGATATGCTTGGTACCGACAAGGTCAAAAATAGCTGAATTAGAGTTCGAATATATTCATGAAAAAAAAAAACCCAGACGGCCTTTAGAATTTGGAACTTCATCATTTGCTTCATGTGTCCAACGACTGGTAAGAACGATGTTATAGCCGGCCGTACTCTGGTCGCTTCGAGATGCCTACAGAGCGTCACGACAGCTCACTATCGGTAAGATTGCCGTGCTTGTTTTTTTATTTCGAGCTGAGATATAATGGCCATTAATTAGTCGTATCAATCTCGGGTGCGCTGCCTCTCTTCCGGAACGTCTAACCACAACAGTCGAGTACAGTTGCCACCTCGATAGTTTTCAACTATGAATACGGCACATGCCTTGAAAGCCAGCTTCTAAAACGTATCCTAGAGTGTTCGTAACGCGGCTTCGCGGTTTCCAAGGCACACCCCACGAGGCAGCAATCTAAGCCAAGTGAAGCGCGGCTCCTGCTTCGATAACGACACAAGCGTTGCCGAGGGGTAATGCAGGCCGGCCCTGGATGTTTGGCTGCTGGAGCGTGCGGGAAAATGCACGGTTGGGAGCCGACGCTTGTTAGCGTAGGGCCGAGCGATTATACCGTTCTTAAGAGAGCCCTG